GGAGCTGCTTTGCAGGTAGAGTGGTGCTGCTGGACACCCTCTGCTTGCACCGGGAGAAAAAGAACCACAGGAAAAGCAATAGCAAAAGGTCAGCGTGGCCCTGACGAACGTGACGGAGGCTACGAATGCTGAATGCAGGCAGGGGCCCACTCAGCCGTCTTCCCAACTCTGGGTCTTCCCAGCCTCTTGGGAGGAAGAAGCTGTGACCCCAGGGACTATTAGTCCAATTCTCCCCCCTGTGCAAGAGAAGGAAACGCGTGCTGCTGACTCTGCCCTGGCCTGGGCTCCGGGCCCTCTGCATGGTCCGTGTGCCACCGCCGGGACGAAGCACTCTCGTTTCCCAGTCTTTGCCCTCCCGTGGCCTGGGTCAGGCGCTGGAAGGTGCCATTCTCTTGCAAGGCCTCGATGGCAGCCGCATTAACACTTGTTACACTGAACAGAGACCTCCCACGGGCCAGGAAGGCTCCCTCCCCCTCGCCATCCCATTCTGTTTAGCTAGAATGTTTCTGAAAAATGTCATTAAATCCAGATCCCATTGAGCTGCAGCATGTGGATTTTCCCACTGTCTAAACAACTCCCAAGCTCAACTATCTCTGTGCAAATCTAATTTCCTGTTCCCCACAACACAGCCATGCTGAGCTCCCGGAGGTTGTGGAAAAGGCACCGTGCTCTTTCAACCCCAGCCGGAACATGATGTGTTCCCTTCAGCTCGGCATCCGTGCGCGGCCCCGGGCCGGGGGGCCCTGCAGGGGCTCTGTAGGAAGCTGGGCGATGGCCCTCCTTGACACCTCCAGGATTTCCCACCTCGTGGCTTCAAAAGGAAGGTTTGTTTTCTTTGCAACTGTGGCTGCTGGTTCAGGAGAGAAAAGGCAGCAATGAAACCTTCCGACTCGGAGACCCCCCATATCTTAGGGCACTTGTACATGTTACGAAAATCACTCTGCAGATGTGAATCCGCCTCTGGCCTGCAAGGTGGGCTATAAGACAAAGGCGCTGAATACTACACAGCCCCTAGGCACAGCGATTCACACAGGGAGCAAAGGAGCATCCCGTGCCATGGACTCTGGCCTGGCTATGGGGGCGAGCGTGCCCGAGATATGGAGCCTGATGGATCTGCCATGACCATGAGTGGGCATTGGTGGTTTTGTGTCTCCCTCCAAGGTTGGGCAGCCAGCAGCAGTCTGCCCCTAAAACAGAACCGGGCACTGGCACAGGGCTGACTCGGAGGGGAAGATTGCCACCTCCTGGCCACCCAGAGAAGCTGAGTTTTAACCCTTGGAAAATGAGCAAAGGTAGCACATCTCACGCTTGCCTTGCTCTGTTGTTCCTTCCTGTGCAAAGTCTAACCTAGAGGAGGGGTCTTTTCTAATGGGCTAAGACCCCAAACACACTAGTGAGGCTGTAGAAGAAGACAGATTAATTCTTCAGACCCGGGCTAACATCCTAGCTAACACAATCTCACAGGAGGTACAATGGGCAAAACTCATCCCAGAATTGTGATGGGCAGAAATGCAGCATTCCCATCAAGCATAGTGTTAGAAATGGACACTCAGGAATAGGGCAGGATCCAGCTCCCACAGACAGCGATCACAGCTTGAACAATGCATCCCTGCTGCACGGTTATCAGTTAATGTGTCATGAGAGCAAACAGTAGCCTGCTGCAAGGACTGCCTTGGGTACTCAATGTGTGAACTGCAGGGCTGGTCCACGTGCACACACATCTTCCTTCTCTCTCATGACCAGACTGTCTAAGCTTCCAAAACTATTCTGCTCCGGACCAGTTTTGATTCTGCACCATGCCTTTGTGATTCAACTAGCTTCAGCAACAGGCCTGCAATGGACTTTTCAGGGAACACGGGGAACGCACGATTCTAGCTTAAAATCCGCCAGGATGCAATCACATTTTTTGGTGCCTGCCCAGCTCTCGTAACAATAGTTTTCAAGGTTTTCTTAAACTAAAGAACCTTTGACCCAGCTTGTGTCGAGCAAAAGCAGGATTCCCAAGGCCAAAGGTTAATGGGCCTGGAAATGATCGTATGTTTATCAGCAAAATAAACGAGGAATAACGTTAGAGCAAATGCCAATCTGTTCCCACCGGCTCTGGTTCCTAAGAAAACACAATGAAATTCACACTCAGGGCAGTAACAGCCTGGAAAGGGAATATTTTCACAAGCCTGGGGGGGAGGCTCTGTAGCAGTTTCATGCTGTCTTGCTGCCTGGCAGTTCCTGATAATTAGAGGCGCATTTTCTGCTTCTTAACCCTGACAAAGAGACTTATCCCCTAATCCTGCTCCCACTGGCGTTAACATGGCAAAACCCCCTGTGACACCAGCTGCAGAGGCTCAGCCCTTCAGAGCAAGCAGGGAGCCAGCAGCACTCTGGGAGACATCAAAGCTGCAGGTTTGTCCCTGGATGCAGCCACCTTTGGGCTTCTAATGTTTCCCACATGGCAGAAGTTGCCCAGACAGTGCTGGGCAGGTACCTGATAAGGATTCGTTTCCAAGAGGCTCCATCTGTTTCCACTTAACTGTGTTTGACACATCTTTCTATGCGCTCCACAAGATAACGTAGTCGGAGACCCTGAAAACACCCTTATTGAATCCATATGGCAAGTCACATGGCAAGCTGCAAACTGTGGAGCTTGCTAAGCAGGGTGAACTCTTGGAAAAAGCAGCAAAGATCTGTCATGCAAAGGTATTTGGGAGTGTCAGGGATGCGGTTCAGCATCCCGTGCTGCACTGGCAGAGCCTTATCCCCACCCCCTGCAAAGAGGCAGGTCCTGCTTTCTGCTGGGGGATGCAGGCAGACTGCGGGAGGGGAAGCATCCTTGGGAGGAGGTCCTGGAAGTGGAAAGTTTCCAGCACAGGAACACGCGCATTGCAAACTGGGTCAGAACCAGGAAGCCCGTGAGTCCAACAGCCTGCCTGCAGCAGAGGCCAGCATCCAAGTTTCACAGGAAGGTGCACAAAAGCCCAGTGGGATCACCAGTCCCCTGGGCTGGTCTCACCCGAACCCCAGAGAATCAGAGGTTTGCAGTAGCCATGGAGCAGGAGGGTTTGATGTGTTCTAGCAGGCAGAAAGCTGCCCGCACATCTGTGTTTTTTTAGGGGGGTTAGCATTTAGCCCATGACAACTCTGTTTCTCTGGATACTCACGGTCTTTGAATCTCCAAACCCTGCTGGTCCTTTTCTCTCAACTCTCCACGGAGCCCAGGGAGGGACTGCTTCCCTTGGGAGGTGTTTGATAAAAAGACGCCATGCAAGTAAATCAGTGAAGAAATAAACGTGTTTGTCACAGCCGAGCACATTCTGGATTACCTGCTCATGTCAGGAGTCTCCTCAGTTCACTTGGTAAACGTGGAGACTTCCTACTAAACAGAACTGTTTTCCTCTTGGCAACAGGAAGCCATGGAGCCTGCAGCTTATCTCTCAGTCCCGGTGAGGCGGCGGGGGCACTAGATACCAATGTCCCCATACTGAAATATGTCCCAAAACACCAGCAAAAAACCCACCTTGGGGCTGGGGGGCACCTGCCTGACCTGAGTGGTGCAGACTGCCCCTGAAAGGACCAGTCACTCGAGAGATTATGGCCAACAAAGATGGGGAGTGATGAAATATCCCACAGAGATTTAAACAAGGGGAAGGCTGGGAACAGCAGAGCCATGAAATGCCTCCGCCGAGCCTGATACTTGAACTCCCAGGCCACGTCTAGACGAGCATGGCCGTGTGGTATATGGTGACCACACATTCAGGTGTTCCCTGCGCTGCTACCTTGCAGTGGGGGAGGAAGGGAGGAGCAGGAGGGGGTGTGACCCTGGAGGATCCCAAGGTCAAGATCCCAGTGTGGAAAAAAAGTGGGGTGGCGCACTGCCCAGAACTGGAGCCTGCCCTCCGGAGCCCTGCTCTGGCTGCTGGCCAGGCTCCCTGGCCCCTAGGGAAGCTGCTGGGATCAGCACAGCTGCTGGCCCCAGCCTCCCCTCCCCTCCTGGGGGCAACCTGCTATGTGCCATTGTGTGGGCGGCACCGGCGTTCCCTGGGGAGGAGGCAATGGTGTGAGGTGTGCTGCTGCTCATCTCTGGGGAACCAAACATCTGTGCACATCTGGACACAGCAGTGCCAGTGCGTTACTGTGTAACACGTGCAACCCTCACTTCTCTGGGCACAGGAGCAAGTGGGGCAGTGTTGAAGACACTGTGGTGCAGTGTGGTGCCCCAAGGCAGCACGTGTGGACAGCGGCAGAGGGGGAGAGAAGCAGAACTGGGGGAGGTGAAGGCACCGCAAGCTGTGCTTGCACGTCCCCTGCTGCAACAGCACAGGACACGCGCGTGCAACAGAAGCACTGTCTGCCTCAAGCCGGGATGCCGAGCAGTTTGCCCCAGCTTGACAGAGGCAGGGCAGCAGCTGCTGGGGAGTCCCGCCCCCCCGTGCCGGTTGTGCTGTGCCAAGCGGGGAGGTCACCGCACTCCTGCTTCCCTGCATCACGCCACGTTGCGTGTGAGGGAGCCGCCATGCACAGGCCCACGCTTGCAGCTGCGCTGCCCAGCCGAGCGCGGCCAAATCTTAAATACCAAACGATTGTGTTGAAAGCTCAAAAAATGATTGTAATTTGCTGGGGGGGGGAAGTACCGTACCCTGAAAAATATGCAAACAAGACTTTTTCTGTACGCTGCTCATGGTAAGCAGGCAGCGAGCGAGTGAGAACCGGGCTATCCAAGCCGAACCGTTTATTTGGAGATCCTGAGGAAGCAAAGCTGAGACCCCCTGAGAGGGGCTTGCGCGTTTTGCAGGTGCTGCAACCACAAACGACGGCGCGCTCACAGCCCCGCACACGTGGCAGCGCTCGCACGTCTGCGCACGCGCCACCCACACCTCCGCCCCGCCCCACTCACGCATGCGCACAGCGCGGCTCTGACCATGCCCCCCTCTGGGGCGCGTTTGCGACAGCCGTAAGTGAGGCGGCGCGCGGCGCGACAGCGGTTGGCTGAGCTCGGCCCGTGCAGGGAGGGTCGGGGGGCCAGGATCGGGCCCACGGGGGGGGCGGCGGCGACAGGTGGACAGTCCGTGCGCGCAGGCCCGCGCCATGAGGCCGCAGCCGGCGCCCGTGTCGGGGAAGGTGTTCGTGCAGCGCGACTACAGCAGCGGCACCCGCTGCCAGTTCCAGACCAAGTTCCCGGCCGAGCTGGAGACGCGGGTAAGGCAAGGCTGGGCCGGGGGCTGTCACCTGGGAGCTGTTATGGTGGCTTAAAATGGGACCGCCTTAAGTTCCCCCCGGCACGTTTGGGTCACGTAAAGTAATTGCCGGCTTGGTCATACGAAGTAATGGTAGTGGTCTGCGCACCACTGGTGGTCTGCGCGTCGCGGGTTGGAGGTTCCTCTCGCTTCCTGCTCGCTCCTTCTGGAAAACAGCGCGTTTAACGAATGAGTGGTTCGTGCCAAGCACCTGCTTATTAAAGGCGTATCATTAAAACCGCGCAGAGTCACGGCCCACGCGTGTGGGAGTGCCCCTGTTACAAAGCATAACGAAAGCTGCCAGGTTGACCCTCTCGGCCTCCAGCTCCAGTCATCCCCAGTTATCCCCACTTGCAGTGTTTCTGTGTGTGTGCCGGGGGTGGCGCGAATGCCAGCCGAGAGCCAGGGTGTTAAAGCTCCTGCATTTTTCTTGGTACAAGCTACGGGCTGTGTCCTGTACCCTGGGCACCTACAGTGTCTGGGGATGTGGTTGGAGATGTGGGTGTGTTGGAGCATGCGAGGCCATGCCATGCTGCTTTGATGCAAGTGGCTTGGGAGGCTCGGTCTGCCTGACAGCGGCGAGATGAAATATTCCCCGTCTAAATGGCCCAGAGCAGATGGTTGTCCTGCTGTGTTTACTTGACACTGTTGTTTTGAATGAGCAAGGCGAGTAGTCTTGTTCCCCCCACCTGCTGGGTAGCATTGCTTTCCTGGGGGACGAAACCCTGCAAAACAATTAGTTGTCTCCAAATTGACCCAAACTGATCTTTGGTATTTTAGCACAAATCTGAAAGGAACATTTTGTATTTAAATAAAGGATAGGTTCCTGTTGCTAGGGAAGTAGATATGCCCTCCACACTCTTGCTTCTTGAAATGGTAATTAGAAAATACCGAACTTTGAATGTGATGTAGAAATCTAGACAAATGTGCCTACAAGTCTAACTTCCAGCAATTATGAAGCCCTTCTGTTTATGATGCTCTCTCTGATCTGTGCCCTTGTCACAACAGAAAGGGCAGCCGTGGCACTGAGAAATAAGGCATGTATTGTTGTATAGAAACCCATCCTCTGACAAGGCCGCTCTGTTGAGCCTACACTTCAGCAGCATCACAAACACCCTCTTATGTTTTCTGTCAACGTGGGGGGTTTTGTTGTTATTTGCAACACTTCAACTAGTGGAGTAACTCCTCCTGGTCAAATATTTTGTGCATTTCTTGTTGTTGGCAAAGATCACTTAGGCTATTTTTGCCTTCTCTTTCACATCACATTTGATACATCTTTGTTTATATCACTCACAAGCTTGACTGGCACTGGAGCAACAATCCTCCATACTTGAGGCCTTATTCAGAGAAGATTTGCCCGTATGGTCTTTCATTGAATAGTGGTTTAAATCCCGAGTCTGTTTCCTGCTGATCTGCTCTTTTCACTTCATACCCCAATTCTTATTTGTGCTTGCTTTCGGGCACAACATTTCAGTTGTGGTAGAATTCATTCTTGATGTAAGCTGAAAATTGAACAAAAGCTGCCGTTTTTGGAGGCTGTTCTATACTAAACGGAGCTGTGGCTCTCTCCACGGTGCATGTTTGAAGCAAATGGTCTCTCCGTGGCAGCGTAGGTTACATCTGTAAAAGGTACAAGTGAGGTGGATTTCTGTACAGGAGGTCAGTGGAGCTAACTTGGACTTTTTGCAGATCGATCGGCAGCAGTTTGAAGAGACTGTGCGAACTCTCAATAACCTGTATGCAGAAGCCGAGAAGCTTGGGGGCCAATCTTATCTCGAAGGTTGTCTGGCCTGCCTGACTGCCTACACTATCTTCTTGTGCATGGAGACACATTATGAAAAGGTAAGCCAGTTTGATTTGCTTTATGACCTGAAAGACAACACTCAACACTATATTAATTGAAGACTGACTTCATTTACAGTGATGAGTAGCACAGTGAAGTCTCTAGTACAAAGCCGGAATAAACTCTCATGCCAAACCAACTTCCTGAAATTACTTGTGCGTCAGATCTGCTCCCCTCTTGCTCAACTGTTACATATGAAATAGATTCCGTTTGACTCTCTCCACATAAGGGGCTGATTTCATGCTGTGATCATTTTTCCATTTTATCCACTTATCCTTTTTATCTAAATACACAGTGTCACACTGAAACCCTTACCTGACAGTTCACTCATGAAAACTTATGTTTGATTAAACAGACCTGGCCTGTGGTGTCCCTTGCACAGGCTGGGTGGTTTGCAGGAATTCTTTATGGGGAATCAGTCATGCAGTCATTTTGCGAGACTCTTGAGTAATGGATTGCGGTGAGGGAGAGGGCATCTCCAGTTTCCCTTCCTGGGGGCTTGGCGGAGATGCAAATGGGATCTGAGCTGGATATCTGTCTGGCTTGCTTGCTTCCATTTATTCTTTGAAGAAAGTGGAGATGTGCCCAATTCAGAGATAAGAAACCAAAGACTTTGGATAGCAAAAGCTTCCTGAGCTGAGAAGTTGGGAGAGGTTCTTACAAGTCTGAAAGAATAGTGTTCAGTGTGGGCAAGACCTGGGAAGCTTCATTCCACTGATTCAAGTACAAAAGGTCACTTGGTCAAGGCCAGTGCAGGGGCTGTATCAGATCCCTAGTCACAGAACGCATGTAGTCCGTTCACTTAAAACCAAGATGCTTATGTGTACATATATCATCTACATTTCCAGCTCAGGATTGAAGATAAGGCTTCACAGCATCAGAAACCCTGTTATTGGTGATATTCTGTAAAGATCTATATTAACGTGTCATCGGTGAAAAACTTAGTCTTAGGTTGGTGAACACAATGCAGGTGCCTTCTGGAAGGTGTGCTTTAGTCACGTGCAGCTCACTGGGCTCATTACAGCGGGCTCTCCAAGTACTACCACCCTATCCATGACAGTGTCCAGTAGTCATTAGAGCCCCTTCCTTGTTGTATTTGTAGAGATGGGACCAAGACGGGCTCTGTGTGGGAGGTCGATGTGAGAGCAGACTTGAAGAAGCTGACATCTGTATGTTCTGCCCCCAGGTTCTGAAGAAAATTGCCAAGTACATTCAGGAACAAAATGAGAAGATCTACGCTCCCCAGGGCCTTCTCCTGACGGATCCCATTGAGAGAGGACTCAGAGTTGTATCCACCTTGAGGTCTTAGACTCTTTTTGAAATTGGCCTGAGGGACAGAGAGGGACATCTCTTACCGTGGCACATGTGTAGAAATTAGTTCACCCCTGATCAGATGAAGGTTGTGGTTTGTGCTTCATAATATCTAGTCGGTAACCTACAGAGCAGTCTTTGCTCCGAATTTAGTAGGATAAAATTTCTGCCCATTTAGAAGGTCACGGGGAAATACAGCATGTGACAAATGCTGCTTGGCCCTCTTTTACAATGGAGCTTTTCATAAACCAAGTATCTTTATACCCATCTTGTGGTTTTAAACCCCATTTGGAAGTCTGGTTGGTAGACTTTCTCTTATCTGAACAACTGTGAGAACTCGTAGAACTATTTTACATAGAAAATGTCAGTCTTGGCTGACTCAGAATTGTTGCCATTATTTCTGCACCCCCACTAGAACCTGCCTGAGCGGTGAGGTAGTTCTCCTGGGTTTTGTTCTCAGTTACAACATGAGCTCCCTGTAAGCTGTGCTTTGGAGTTTGGAGCCCGCTGCAGGTGATTTGGCATTCCAGCTAGTATCATTCTTGGTGGTTGCAGAGGCATCTCGTAACTGTAATTGAGGAAGCAGAAGTAATACGTTTCATCCGTTGAGAATTCTGAAGTTGAAGCCCTTTTGAAATGCATAGGTGCATAGTGTGTGGTGAGCTGTCATCCTAATGAATTGCAGTTGTTTGGGTTCATCTGAATATTTGCCCAAATAGCTTACAGCTGGCAGTTATGTAGTTCCAGTGCCCTCATACTGTTTCCTAGAAGTTACTAGAAAGAAGTGACTAGACTTTGGTGAACAGAAATGTAAACAGTAAATGAGCAGGGGAAAAGGCTACAGTAAAATTCGGCTTAACGTATAAACAACCTGTGTGAATGTTGGCAGCCTCAGAGCAATATTATACACTGAGGCTAAGTGAACGCTCATTAAAAGGCAAGTCAGGATGCAAAACCAGAAATCGTGTGGGATGTTTAGAATGGTTTAGAAATTTAGCAACACTTCTCATCTAACAGCTGATGTGATCCAAGGCTCTGCTAGCTAGGTTTTTGTCATTTGTCAGTTGTCTTCCTTTTCCTGTAGCACGTTTTCTTAACAGCCGTGCTGTGCAGATTGAAATCACCATTTATGAAGACAGAGGTATGAGCAGTGGAAGATAAAACCATGGACCCCAAGGTAAATATTAACTTTGCATTACATGTCAAATCTATAACCGGCTTCTGTGCATTCAGAAGACGTAAACTTTCCCCTCCCCTGCCGAGACAGAATGTTTATCCAACCGCTGCATGTAATCATAAGGCTCTTTAAATAAATCTTCTGTGTGGATGAAATCTTTAAATCCCAGCGGAAGATGTAAAAATATCAATACTTGGCAGTGTGCCCCTGAATGGTAATGCACTTCAGATGATGCCAGATTTCACATTGATGAAATCCAGATTTTAATTATGTAAACATGTATAATCATAAATCTGATTTCTGCTGTACTGTGTCAGAAATCATTATCTCACAGGTTGGATAGACCCACAAATTCTGATTCTGCTCAGGTTTCCCTCCTGTAAGTGAAGCAGCTCAGGACTTTAGGCTTGAGTTTGAACTCAGTCACTTACTGGTTCATCAGCTGTCTTGGGCCCTGGAATGACTCTTGCGCTAATGGCATGTGATGACAGGGGAGCCCGTACAGTCCACAGCGTGCGAGATCCCCAGCAGGTCTTGCAAGCTAAGAGAGTCAAGCCAGGTCAGTACATGGTGGGGGGGACATTCAAGAAAAATCCCTTTGCTGTTAGGTGTGGCATGGGTAGTTTAGTCACTGCTGCTTTTCCTTCCGAATCAGTGCTGAGCCAGTGCTGCAGCCTGGGGCTTAGGGTCTTCTCCGCTGAAGCTTCTGTCTTTAAAGCAGTTTGTAAAATTGAAGCCTAAAGACCTGGGGTGCATTAAGGATCCTCTAATGCTTTCCATAGGAGTCGGGGTACTGGGATTACTCTTCTGGCAGAACCCCAGACTGAATAATTCTGTTCTCCCTTCCCTTTGTTTCCATTTTGCTTTCAGCCTGATGAAGCATTCACTTCCACTGCTCAGCTATAGCTGCCTTCCACTCCAGAGGTGGCTGAATTCACCTGCCATTTCCTTCTTGCGTATAAAATGAAGTTGTGGCACCTCATATTTGTAAATTCCTTGGGCGCAGGGCACATGATGGGCCAGCAAATAAGCTCTTTGTGCCTTAGTAGGAACACTGCAAACAAAAAAAAAATCAGGTTGTACACAGCCTGGCATATCAATGAAGGGGAGAAATGCCACAGACCTCCTCTGGTCTTTGCTAGGTGCCTCTAGAAGTGCCTCTTGGTAATTGCTTGGTCATGACTAATCCAGATGTACCATCTCTCTGACTCAGCCAGGACGAGAGTTTTCTGGAAGGAAAGGCCTGAGATTCTTGCTGCTGAACATGTATTGCTAACAAGCTCTGCACTATCAAAATACTGTAACAGTTGATTTAGAACGTCCTATCTGACTTCTCTGGCTATTAGCAGTCAGAAACTTGATCAAGTTCATGGCTTGTGCCTGCTGCTGTTGGAACAAGGTTGTGTTTTATCAGTTGCAGCTGCATCTACCTGGCACAGCCCTTTTGTCCTGACTCATTTCACGGCGATTACTGCAACGTGGAATGTTTTTCCGAGGTGGCGTGGGTTTTGAGCACTCTCACACGTGAGCCTGCTCTATCCACGTTCAAACAACTGTGACCCTTCTCATACAGGAAAAGATTTACATTAGGAACTTCTGGATAGTTTCATGAATTGCAAATATTTTGGTTCAGCACCACTTTGTTTTCAAAGCTGTAGGCAGACCAGGAGCAAGCTCCCCACAGAGTGGGGCCTAAGCAGGGGTCTGCCTTCCCAAGTGCAAGCCCTGCACCTGAAGCCTGCAGACTGTCGCAGACAGCCTGTTTACGCTGGCCGGGAAGCTGGTCTGGGTTACGTACACAGTTTAGAGAGAGAATCCATAACCATGGGAGACTAGAGTTCTGCTAGGAAGAGGGGGCATTTCTAGGCCACATGCTAGGCCTGTGCAAAGGTGTCTTGTGTGGTTCTCTGCAGTGCTGGCTCCTAACCTGCTCCAATTCTCTTTGTTTTCCAGCCCCTGGCTCAGCGGTGGACTCGCCGTATCAGAGCGTTCCCCTACCTCCTCTCTAGAGCATCATTCCTCTCTGCTGCCAGACCTGTGGTGCCATCTACTTACCAAGATTAACTTTCTAAACTTCTGGCTGGTCAGCATCCATTTTGTGGCCTGTGGCAAGCTTTAAGCAGTGGGATCATCTTGTTCGTTTCCATGGACAAGGAATGGGCAAAGTAAAGCTGTTGCTCTTCAACAAATGAACTGGGCAGTTCAGCCCAGTGGGAAGCAGCTGTTTCCCTCCCCACCAGTTAAATCTTCCGACACAGCAGGCTGCAAGTCTGACTTCAGGGAGTCTGTGCCAGAAACAAGGCCCGCACTCCAGTGCAGGGCAGAGCAGCCTGCAATACACTCACTGCACACAGTGCCTCTGCCTAGCAGGAAGTGACTCGAGGCACAGAGCAGTCTCAGGTTCCTGAGCTGACGCTCACTGGGAGTTCAATGCAGAAAGGTTTTTCTAATGATTTAGTTGTTTTTCCTAACCCCCGATAGCTGGTATTGTTACTGGGTACTTTGCTGGTGCCCTGGGAATCTACTGCTGTCACTGGAGTTCTCCACGCTCGCGGGAAGAGACAGTCTGTTGCTTGTTCCCTTCAACTGTGTCAGTACAATAAAATGGATGCTGAACCAATACATGTAGCCATCCCCACTCTTCCCCTGAAGGTTATTATGTAAAATGTAATGAACTGTTTTGTTTCTCTATGGATTTATTATATATAATTTATAGCAAAATGTTTATTTGATGGATTACTCAATAGTGTGTAAGATGGTTTCTTAACTCGCGCTGCTGGCAAACTGCTGAAAAGCAGAGCTGTGCAGTATGTCATATTTCCCATGAATTAACATTCCTCAGCAATATCTGCTATGCTATCTTGGGCATCTTCCGAGTAAAACTTCCAGCAAACAAAATTGGCCTAATATTTTCTGTTGTCTCCCTCTCCTGTATAACACGAGATCTTTACTTGGCTGGGTTTATGCTAGCACAGACCCCCCGGCTGGAGAGCTACTGTCCACCGTGGGACTTGTAGAACAAGACAACCGCTACAACTAGGTGGAGTGTCGAGTTTTCTGTGATACTGTAGGTGCTAATCCTGGAGCGGAGATTCCAGGCTTCCTGTTCAACCACTTCTTTCTTTTTTTCCCCCTCCTCTTTGAGACTTGTTTCCTGTTTTAATTGTACAGAAGACTTTTTCTTTGTCTCTCTGAACTGTAAAAGTGCATTTGCCTTTTGCACCTGTTGCAATAATTTTGCAGAACTATTAATGGATTAGTAAAATTTTCTTATATTGTGTCTGTGTCCTGTTTGGTAGCACTGACCTGAATAAAAGTACTGATTTCCTCTAAGCAAAAGTGATGGCTGGTAACCGAATCTAAGCCATGTGAGAGTGCATACCTTGCTCTGTTTCTGCTATGACTGATGCAGGAGGGATAGGTTTTATGCTCTTTGTTGGGGGCAGGGGGTGCCTGCATGCATCAGCAACAACCCTGATGAAAGACAGGGAAGCCCTTGCACTGAAGGGGTCCTAAATCTGAGCAGAGTGTTCATGAGAGCTAATATTTCAGTTTGGAAAGTAGCTGTTCATGAAGGAGGAAGGTTCCTCCCCTGCCTTTACCCACACACATTGTAGTGCACAGTCCCTCCCCAGCGAGGGGAATGCAGAGGAGGAAACAAGACTGGCAGCAATGGCAGTCGACTCCCTGAGTGGGCTGGGAGCTGACAAAATCTCCCATCCAATTCCTCTTTTTTTTTTTTTTTGAATCCTAGAAAGGAGGACCAGAAGGGACCGATAAGACCATCAAGTCCGGTCCCCTGCCATGGGCAGGATGTAATTGGGTTCAAACCAGCACGAGGAGGTATTTGTGCAGCCTCCTCTGAAAGACCACCGGAGCCGGTGACTGCACCACCCCTGCGGGAAGCCTGTTCAGAGTCTAGAGATTTTAGGTGACCCAAGCAAGATGAAACCACAGCGAGCAGGGCAGAGCTGGCCTGGGTGCTGCGCAGCACTGCTGGGAGAGGGGGAGTGCCCCGTGAGGAGGGTGTTTGTTCTCAAGAGCTTGCAAAGAACATCTCTCTGCTCTCTAGCTGGTGTAATACCAGAGACTACATCTACCCAAGAAAAACTTGCCAGCCAGAGCACGGCAAGGAGGCCGGTGCCTCTGCAATGTGCAGCTCCTTGGAGAGGACTGGGGCTGTCAGCCCCCTCCTCCACGTTTCCCTTCCACCGGGCCCCCCAAAAGAGAGGGTCCTGCTGCAGCCCCGGCCCTTGCTCCCTTGGGAAATGCTGGAGAGGACGGCGGGGCCCGTGCCGAGGGTGTCTCGGCCTGCCCCGCACCCAAGGGTGCGCACAGGGCAGCCCCTTAAAGCGAGCCACAGACCCCTACAGCCGGCAGCAGTCTGTCCGCGCCCCCGCGCGTGCGCCTCTGCGCCCCCACCCGGCCCCGGTAGCTGCGCGGCCGCGGGAAGCGACGTCCCTTTAAGCGCCGGAGGAAGCCGCGCGCGGGTCCGGGGGCGGAGCTCATGCATATGCATGTTGCAAGCCCCGCCCCC